TATTTAAATTAAAAAATGTAAACCACTTTCATCTTATATACTTGGAGTATATAGTCAGGAGAGTCAAGTCTTTGGAAAAGACATCAAGCTGGGACAGGTGGAGGGTCAGAGAAAGAGAGGAAGACCCTCATCAAGATGGATTGACATAGGGACAATATCAGTGGGTTGAAGCATACCAGAAATGGTCAGGATGGTGCAGGATAGGACAAGGTTCAGACCTGTTGTTTATAGAGTCACCATAAGGCATAGACACTTGATGTCAGCTAACAAGGACTATGTTTTCAGGTTCCTTTTTTTGGAATGAGAGTAAATATAGGTCTCTTCCAGTCAACAGGCCAGGTAGTTTTCCTCCAGATTTCTTGACATAACCTGGTGAATGTGTCCAGGGCAGCACCTATTTGCTGAAATATGTCAATTGGTATTCCATCAATTCCTGAGGCCTTGTTTTTTGCCAATTCCTTCAGAGCCGCTTGAAAAAGAATTTATTATATAAAATACAATGTGTGTGAATTAATACAATGTAAATGAAAGATTGTATAAAACACAGTGTACATGCATGAAACAAAATGCATAACAATGACTGTATGCAAATCAATAAAAGTGCATTTAAAAATGGAATCTCTATCTATTGACCTTACTTAATGGAAAACACAACAATTACATGACTAAAAAACTTTTCATTAAGCCAGTATCAACTCACAGAAATGTTCCACTGATAGTAGATCATAGCAGAAGTAGTTTGACCACATTTTTCCTCTCTTTGGATTAGCAGCACAAATCATCATGGGCTATGCCACTAACAAGCTTCCTATTTAAATTGATTACTTCTCTGGACTTGGAGAGAGAGATCAGCTGGCCCAGCAGACAGAAGGCGACGCTACCAAGCCAAAGGTGGGTGACTTTCAATCTGCGGCCCTCGGGCCTGTCTTTCTTTTTTTTTGTTCAGACATTCCTCTAGGTCATATAGCCCTGGTGTACAAGTTGCTGTACAGCGGTCACTTGTGGTTGCTGTGAGGCTGAACACTGTGACACGGATGTGTCAAATGCATTAATGGTTGGTTACCCAAGACAGACAGAGAGTGGGGTGGAGCTCCCCGATTAAAACAAGCTTGGAAGGAGGAGTGGCATCCACTTCCGTAATAGCTTGCCTCCGTCCGGAAACCCTATGAACCTGGAGAGAGGATGAGAGACACCCAAGTGTTGAGGACTCTTCTTCATAGGGTCTCTATGAGTCGCCTGAGACTCGGCGGCACTTAACAACAACATTGTCTCTGGAAAGAGATGCTGGAAAGACACAATATGAGCAGTCAGAACAAATCAGGGACCAATGTGGAACAATCAGCTGCTCAAATGCAAGTTCAAACTGACCATGAACAAAGTGAAAACAAGTCAGTGAGAACCAAACCACAACCTAGATTTATGCCACCTGAATTTAAAAACCATCAAAAGAACAGAGTTGATGCTTTGAACACTAACAACCCCAAACTGCGGGATGGCATACTGTACATGAAGAAAGCAAAAGATTCTCAGAAAGATCAGCTAAGAATCCAGAACACTAATAGTGCTCATATAGAATCTGTACATGAACCAAGCAGCAATCGTTAGAACACAGCAAGGCAATACTGCATGGTTTAAAATTGAAGAAGGTGTGTATCAGGGTTATATCTTTTCACCATGCCTATTCAATTTGTATGTTGTTGTTGTTGTTAAGTGCCATTGAGTCATAGGCGCTCATAGCGATCCTATGAAAGAAAGTCCTCAACACTTGTGACATTTTCATCCTCTCTCCAGGTTCAGAGGGTTTCTGGAGGCAAGCTATTATGGAGGTGAATGCCACTCCTGCTTCCAAGCTTGTTTTAATCAGGGAGCTCCACCAAACACTGTCCGCCATGAGTAACCATTAACGCATTTGACACATCAGTGTTACAGTGTTCAGCTTCACAGCAACCACTTGTTACCTCTGTACAGCAAGTGGACACACCAGGGCTATATGACCTAGAAGAATGTTTGACCAAAAACAATGAAAAACAAGCCTGAGGGCCGCGGATTAAAAGTCACCTACCTTTGGCTTGGTAGCATCACTTTCTTCCCACTAGGCCAGCTGATCTCTCTCTATGTTGATGTTATTGTTGTTAAGTGCCGTCGAGTCATAGGCGACTCATTGCGACCCTATGAACAAAAGTCCTCAACACTTGTGTGACTTTCATCCTTTCTCCAGGTTCACAGGGTTTCTTTCCCAAGGCAAGCTATTACAGAAGTGGATGCAGAGCAAATAATCCAAGAAGCTGTAATATATAAGAAAAAGAAGGTCGCATTAACATTTGAAGAAGTTCCATAAACAACTGAAATCTATAGATGATGTCCCTTAGACAAAATGAAGAGAACATTAAGCACATACAGAAGGTCAAAGATTACAGTCTTCAGTATGAATTATACCTTTTGTAATAACAACATTAAAAGTCTTCACAACAGAATGAATAAGCGTATTGTGTTAAATAGGGAAAAGACTGACATTTTCAAGGACTTCCTTTTACTCGGATCGACAAACAACAACCGTGGGAGCAGCAATGAAAAAATCAAATGACATATTGCATGGGGCCAATCTCCTGTAAAGTGCACAAAACCAAACCAAAACTCCTAACTGTTAAGCTGGAACTGACATGTAGATGACTCTCTGCTCGATTTTCAGAGACTGTTCATCCTGTGGAAGGAGAGTGCCCGTGTTTTTTCAGTGCCTCTGGTGGGTGGACTTGAACCTCTAGAAAGGTGCCATCTTTGAGCTAGCAGCACAACTCACTATGGACTTGGCCACCAGTTGTTGCTGTTGTGTGCCGTCGAGTCACACTGACCCACAGGTGACTCTCCAGCAGGTTTTCAGAGACGGGAAACCACACAAGAGGAGATTGTTGATACTTCTCTCATGGAGAAGCTGGTGGATTCAAACTGTGTGCCTTTGGGATTGCAGTGTAGCTTCTTTCCACTATGCCACCAGTGCTCTCTTACTTCTTGACACGATTGTTATAAGACAAATCTGACATGAGGGTTTGGGAGAATAGGAAAACAGTGGATAGATAATGAACATTGCAGTGGAACAGATGAAGGAAAGAACTGTTAAAAGAAATATACGACTAGGCATTATATGTATGACAACAGCCCAGAATAAGAAGTACATTGCAAAGAGGACTAGGGGGAGGGGGGCGGGAGGTAATTGTGCAACAAGGAATGTTTAAAAAGACAAAAAAGTGAACTAGGGAAGGGAGAAGGAAGAGGGGGAGGGGGGTAAAAGTGTGCAACAACAAATGAATGAAAATAAAACTTTTCTGTAAACTTTCATAAAAAATCACAATTAAAAGAAAATTATTTTTAAAAAGTGTGAAAAAGTAGAATATCAGTTGAAAGACTAAAATGTTTCTTATTTAAAAAATAGTCTCTTCAATTGCTTCATTTACTTATTAAGGTAGGACAACGGGTAAGGAAGATTGAAAAAGAATTTAGGTCATTAAGTTTGGTGATGAGGAAGAATACGGAATGTAGCATGGCCTGCCAAAGGCATAAACAAGTCAGTCTTAGAGGAAGTACAGCCAGGCTTCTCTCTAAAGTCAAGGGTGATGAGACTTTATCTCAGACATTTAAGGCATGTTGTCAGGAGGGGCTGGCCAGTCTTTGAAAAGGATATAATCCTGGGAAGGGTTGAGGGTCAGAGCAGGGGAGGGAAGGCCTTCAATGAGATAGACTGGCACAGACTGAACCATAGGCTTAAGAACAATGGAGACTGTGAGGATATTATGAGATAAGGCAAGGTTTCTATCTTTTGTATACAGGGTAGCTGCTTGCTGCAGTCAACTTGATGGCAGGTGACAACATATAAATAAGGGCTATTGATCTGTAGTTTTCTTGTGTCTTTACCAGACTGATAATAGGGTAACACTGGCATACTAGTGAGTTAGGAAGAGTGTGAGAATTGGTATCAAGTAATTTTAAAATGTGTGTGTATGTGTGTGTGTGTGTGATGTGTTATCAAGTAGCCTGCAACTCATAGTGACCCTATGTACAATAGCTCTGAAACCTGCCCTATCTTGAGCCAATCTCATAATTTCCAACAGACCTTATCCCATTTCTCCAGTCACTGAATCAATCCATCTCATCCAAGGTCTTTTTCTCCTGTGCTGTCCCTCCACCCTTGCAAGCATGATTGTCCTTCTACAAGGACTAGTCTGGCCATTTGCCCAAAGGATGTGAGAGGAAGCTTCAAAATTCTTGCCTCCAGGGAGCAGCTTGGTTTCACCCTCTCTAGGATAGACCTGTTTGTTCTCCCAGCAATCCGTAATATGTGCAAGGCTCTTCTCCAGGACCACAACTCAAAGGCATTGATTCTTCTTCTATCATCCTAAGTCATTGTCCAGCTCTCTGACATTGATTCTCACCACTGGGCCAATTGGCAGCTTTATGACAGATGGAGAAGAGACTGAGATTGTTAACAACTTCAGCTCACTCAACATCAAGAAAACAAAGCTTCACACCACTGGGCTGATTGGCGGCATCATGATAGACAATGAAGAGTTTGAGATTGATAAAAACTTCAGTTTGCTTGGATCCACAATCAACACTCTTGGTACCAGCACCCAGGGAATTTTAAAAAAAAAAAAAAGAATTGCATTGGCAAAGTCTGCTTTCATGGACCTCTCTGGAATATTGAAGAGGAACAATGTCAGTCTGGAGACTAAGGTGTGCCTGATCCAGGCCACAGTCTTCACAAGTACTTGCTATGCATCAGAGAGCTGGACAATGACTTAAATGTCTGGTAGAATTCACAAATAAAGCTATCTGTCCCTGGACTCTGTTGGAAGATTTTTAATTCCTGAGTCAGTATCCTTATTTGTCATACTTATTTTAAAGTTTTCTATTTCTTTTCCAGCTAATCAAAGCAGTTTGTGTGTTTAGAAAAATTTCTATTTTATGTTTTTTTGCCTAAAATTGCTCATTATTGCTGTTATGTGCCACCAAGTCGCTTGTGACTCATAGCCACCCTATTTACAACAGCTCTGAACCCTGTTCTATCCTAAGCCAATCTAATCTCTGACACACCTACCCCCCATTACCCCAGTCACTGAATCAGTCCATTTCATCGAGAGTCTTTCTCTCTTGTGCTATTGCTATTAAATCTGAAGGCTCTTAGTTTACCCTCCGTTAGGTTTTCAGGGCTGGAAATCATAGTGCAGTCCAGAGGTAGTTATGCTCCTAACTGGAAGTGAAGTCTTGATGGAGGTTAGAATCTATCAATGGTTCTGAGGATGAGAATGGTCAATCTCCATGTGATTTACAACCTCAGAAACCCAGTGGAGGATTAGCTATGAGTCATTTCAGATTCCATGGAAATTAGAGTTAATGATTTGTTGTTGTTAGGTGCTTTCGAGTCCAGTATGACCTATAGCGACCCAATGACAAACAGATCTGAACCTTGTCCTATCCAGTATCTTCCTCCCACTGACGTACTCAAGCCCTTTGCAGCAGTCATGTGTCAATCCATTTGGTTGAGGGTCAACAGACGAATTGCTTTGGGAAAGTCTGTTGTCAAGGACCTCTTCAGAGTAATGAAGAGCAATGATGTCAGTCTGGAGATTAAGGTGCACCTGCTCTAGGCCATAATTTTCATAATTACTTGCTTTACATTTAGAAAGCTGGACAATGACTAGGGGTGATAAAAACAAAATTGATGCCTTTGAGTTGTGGTGCTGGAGAAGAGTATTGAATGTACTATGGACAGCCAGGAGAACAAACAGATTCGTCTTGGAGAGGGTGAAACCAGGCTGCTCGTTGTAGGCAAGGATTCTGAGGCTTTGTGTGTTAATACTTTGGGTATATTTTAAAGAGGGACCAGTCCTTGGAGAAAAACATCATACTTGGGACCACCAACTACTCTTATTCAAGTTCTAGCTGAAGCCCAATGAAATGAAATCAAATCCACGGGAACCAAAATTTGACCTTGAGTCTATCCCAACTGAATTTCAAAACAGTGTCCACTAGTCCAATGTAAAACAAAGAGATTTGAAAATACAAACATGGACAAGAGCTAAGAGCCAAGTAAAAAAAGTAATTGCATTTGGAAATGGGTGATTCATTGTATTTAAATTGATTTTAAATACATCCTTCCTCTTTCTGGTTGCAGGGGCCCGCTCTCCCCAGCAGAGCCCCAGAGACCGGAAGCGGAAGTGCGTGTGCACAGCCAGCAGCCATATTTGGAGGCGCTCTTGCTTCGGGGTGAGGGGAGGGTGTCGGGGGTCCTTTCACTCTGGCCCTGGTCTCGTGCCGGCTGCGGCCCGCGGGGCACTTGGCCGCGGTGTCAGGCCGCCGTTCCGCCCTCGGTGCCGCTCTGTCCCGGTCCCGCTCCCTCCGCCTTGCGGTCTGCGCGGCGCTGCCTTCCCCGCGCCTCCGAGCCCGGCCCGCCGCCGCCCGTGGTGCGAGACGCCGGCGAGGTGGGCTGCGCTTGCGTCCGTCGGCGCGTGGACAGGTAAGGCCGCCCTCGTCCTCGCGGAGCCCGGGTGTGCATGCAGCTCCGCCGCCTCGGCTGCACCTGGAGCTTTATGAGACGCGCACAGTCCCGGGTCTGCACGGAGCTCGGGTCTGGGTGTCAGTTCCCCGGCCCCGCCTCCAGTCTGCTGCTCTCCGATTCCCTTTTGTCTCCCGTGCTTCCTTCTGGGCCCAGCTATTCGTAGTGCTGAGCAGAGAAGCAGATTGTGGGGAGGGTTGCATCCCCCCTGCATTAATGGTGCCCAGGTGCGGTACGCATTGGGCAGCTGACCCGCAGGTACGGCAGTTCGAGCCCACCGGCCTCTCCGCGGGAGAGCGAGGACGCAGCGCTAATGGATGGTGGTGTCCCGGGGTTGGGGAATCGGAATCTGCGGTAGTGGCTTGCTTTTGATTTTGACTTTAATCCTCCTGAAGCTTTGCTAAGCCCTTGATTGCTAACTGAAAAACTGGTGGTTCCAACACTAGCATCTGCTCGCAAGGAGACAGACCTGCTTCTGCTTTTTAAAATTATAACCTTGTAAACCCTACGGGGTCACGGTTTTGTGGAGTGCTTTAAGATAGATGAATTAAATAATAGGACTTAGGACTAGTAGCGTTTGGAGTAAAGTGTCCAGCTGCCAGTCCGAAGGTGGGTGGTTAGAAGCCACCAGCTGCTACATGGGGGGTGGGAGGAAAATGGGCATTCTGCTCCTGCAAAGAATTACAGCTTCGAAAAACCCGCTGCTGGGTCGCTCTTATTATTTGAAATTGATTGACAGCGGTGGATTTGTTTTTGGTTTTTGTTTGTTTGTTTTGGTTTTGAGATACATACATTTAGGATCATTTTTATTCGAATTTCGGAAGAAAAGTAAATATAAAGGCACATTTAGAGGGAATTCTTTGACCAATGCAGAAATTTTTAGACTATGTGAGAAACAGTGTGGCCAGAATTAGTTCATAGAATGTGTGTGTGCTGGTGTATGCTCTGTGATCTGGTTGGAATTGGATGGTGGTAATTCAGTCACAGTTTCTGCTACCCATCAGCTACATTTCTTACTAGGCTGAAGGCTTCAGATTTGTTGCAGAAAAACCCAGCACATTTTTAATGTCAGACTAGCCAATGTTATGTGATGAATGTAATCAGAATACTTGAGCTGGTCTTTAACAAATGTAAAATATTCAGCAGGTGCGTATATCATTTAAAAATTCTAAAATGTCTAAAATTAAGTAACTTGTTTGAGAAAGGAAGCTCTGGTGACCTGGGCATAGGAAGCTGCACTGCTATTTCAACGGCCTGATTTCGAATCCACAGGCTTCTGTGTGGGAGAAGGATGGGCAATCTCCTCCTCTATTTACTGCCTCTGAAAACCCGCTGCATGGTCAGCTATGGGTGTTTGAGAAACCATTGCTAATGATTTATAATTGATCTCTGATGACCTAGTGGTAAAAAAACTGCACAGCCAACCCAAAGGCACATGGTTTGAATTCACCAGCTGCTCTGTGGGACAAAGATAGTCAGACTCCACCCATGGGATTTACTGCCTCTGAAAACCCACTGGATGGTGAGCTATGAGTTGATTCTGACTTTAGGGTACATACCAACAACAACAATAATAATCCCGTTGAGTTCTGGTGGCCTAGTCAATAGGTCACTGGGCTGCTAACTCAGAGGCCACACTTCTTTTGTGGTTGGAATCCAGGGGAGAAGATGGGCATTTAATCTTCTGCTGTTTGATTTTACAACCTCTGGAAACCTGCTAGAGTGTCAGCAATGAGTTGGCTGTGATTCAGTGGCAATGAGTGAGTGAGTGATAATCTCTTTATTTGTACCATTTAGTATTAGAATTTACTGTCATTTTGGTCACACAGTTTGTCTTGTTTTGTTGTGAAATTAATAGCTAGATGGTCCAGATCCATTGACCATAGAAAGTCCATTCTTTACACGCTGCAGTTCCTCAGATGTGGTTTGCTTTCCCGCAGTTGGTGTTGCCTGAGATTGCCGTGAAGTCCCAGTTCTGTACTGACTTATAGCTAGCTGACCCTGCAGCAGGTTTTCAGAGGGAGTAAACTGATGGAAGAGATTGCCCATCTTTCTCCCTTGGAGCAGCTGGTAGATTTCCAGCCACCTGCCTTTAGGTTGGCAGCTTAACTCCTTGTCACTAAGCAGCCAGCGCCCCCTGTTGCCCATAGCCTTGTAATAGCCACCTCATTCCAAAATTTTGTTTTAGTGGCATAGTTTCTTGTTTGTTTTTTTTCCTCATTATCCTACCTACACTCTAAGACCAAAAGGCTGTTTCTTTTTTTCTTTTTTCTTTTTAATTTCGTTTTAGTGGTCTCATTTTGTGCTGTTTTTCTGTGTCTGTATAACAAGGCTGTATCTAACAAGACATTTGTCCTTGCAGCTATTTTTACATGTAAAAATCAGTAATAGTAGGGAACTCTGGTGACGTAGTGGCAAGAAGCTGCACTGCAGTAATTCACCAGATGCTCTGCTGGAGTAGGTGGGACAATCTCTTCCTGTACCAGTCAGATCCGATTTGACCATACACACACACACACACACAAATTTAAAAAATTTTTTAAAAAGAATCAGTAATAGTATATTTCTCTTGTACACAGCCACCACGCTTTCATATTATTTCAGCCTCACTCTTTTATATCACCCTTACTAATAACCCATTGCCATTTTTTTATTTTCTTTTTTTAATGAATTTTAATAAGCATTTACAGAGATTTTGGATTTCCATTCATTCATTGCCGCACTTTTCTCCCTAACCCATTGCCTTTTAAGCATCACTCCCACTTCCTGTACATCACTAGGATCCACTAATAATCCTTGGTCTCTATACATCTGCCCCTTCTAGATATTTCATGCAGTTGTGATTTGACAGTACTTTTGCATATGTCCTGACTTCTCTGTCACACTCTCTCTCATTGTCGCTGAGTCAGAACTGATTCATAGCTCACCCTCCAGTTGGTTTTTGGAGGCTGTAAATTACACAAAAGGAGGCTGCCCATCTCTCTCCCTCAGAGTCTTTGGTGGAATCGAACCGCCCGCCTTTGGGTTGGCAGCACAACTCCTTACCCACTAGACCACCAGCACAGTTCCCCCGTCCTAATTCTCTGCATTTGTAAGTCTTCATTTCTTTTTATGCTTTAGTAATAATATTGTATGGAAATGCGATTTGATTATGTTTTGTTGTTGGCCATTTAGGTTGTGTTCTTTTTTTCTTTCTCTTATGAATAAGAATAGTGCTACAGTGAACACTAGAGTAAAAGTACATGTTTGGTCCTGCTGTCAGATCTTTTGTGTGTATATGTTGGAATAGAAATGTCTGGGTTAGATGGTAATTAATGTTTATCTTTCTCCTGGATCGAGGGACTGTTTTCTACAGAGGCTACGACTTTTTATAAGCCTACCAACCATTTCTTCACATTCTTGTCTGCTCTTAAATGTTTTCTGTGTTTCTGATAGTGTCCATGCTAGTTGGAATGAGGTAGTTTTGAGCTGAATTTCCTAATGACTAATGACATTGAGCATCTTTTCATGCATTTTTGGCCATTTATCTATTTCTGTCATAAAATGTCTGCTTAAGTTCATTGCCCATTGTGGGGGGATGTGCCCTGAGTAAGGTTAGGCTTCTCTGAAAGTGAGGGGTTTCCACCTTTATTTTTGCAGTGCTTTGAGAGCTTGCGACTCCTGGGCGACACAGGCTGGAGGAAAGGTTGGTGGTCAGTATCTGAAATAATAGAGCAGTGGGAACTTTATGAAAAGCAGTGGAACACTGGCTGATAGCGTGGTGGAAGATGTGCCCTTCAGGTTCAAAGTCACTCATACTCTGACTGGGGAAGAACTACTCCTTCAGAATAGAATCAGTGTTAATGAGGCAGATGGAGTAACACATTTATGTCCTTCACTTACTGATATGACATGACCAGACATTAAAAAGAAATGCGAAACAACCATAATTGGAACATGGAATGTAAAAGTGTTAGTCTAGAACTTGGAAATTGTCACAAAAGAGAAATACATTCAAAATTGTACTCTAGAAATTAGTAGAAATGGACTGGTATTGGTCATTTATAATAGGATAGTCATAGAATCTGCTATGACAGGAATGTCAAATCACAAAGAACATTTCCGTGTCTATCCTCAAGTGATAAAATAATACCCATAAACAGGCACACAATTATTTTTCAGATCTGTTCACCCACTTCTTCAGGCAGAGTTGTAGAAATGGAAGATTTCGGCCATTATATGCAAGCTGAAATGGACCAAACATATGATCACGTTGTATTGATAATCACTGGTGATTGAAGTACAGAAGCTGCATACAAAAGACCCAAACTCACTGCCATTTTATAAACAAAAAAGGCTGGAGGGGGCATGGAGGGAACGGAGCTCCCAGGCAGTGCTGGTGGCAGTGCGAAATCACGTCCATAAAAAATTGACAGTGGAAATGCCATTTAATCCAGAATCTCACTACTGGTATATGTTGTTCTTGTGTACCATAACGTCGGAACCGACCCACACCTGACCCTCGGGCGAGTTTATAGAGGCAGTTAATGGCACAGGAGGAGATTGCCCATCCATTTCTTGTGGAGCACCTACCTGGTGGTCTCCAACCATATGCGTTTAGGTTTGCAGTGCAGCTTCTTGTCACTAGGACATCAGAACTCCCTATTGGTAATTATCCTTCAGAAACAAGAGCTAACACATGAAGTGATATATGTACGCCCACTTTTACTGAAATATTATTTACAATAACAGAGAGGGGAACCACCTAATTGTCCATCAATATATGAATCATTAAAGAAAGCACTCTTTACATCATTAAAGAAAGCACCTTTCCTTAACTTTTTATAATAGTAGTCTTCTACTGTCATACATAATCAGACTGTTTTGTGACTGACTTATGTTACTCAGCATAATTTGTTTTAGATTTATTCATATTATGCAGTATTTTATGCCTCATTCATGCCATAATCTTTTCAGTAACTTGCTATGCATCTGGGAGCCGGACAATGAATAAGGATGGCAGAAGAAGAACTGATGCCTTTGAACGGTTTGTTGGAGAAGAATACTGACTATCCCATGGACTGCCAAAAGGACAAACAGGTATGTCATGGAGAGGGTACAGCCAGAGAGCTCCTTGGAAGCAAAGGTAAGAAAAGCTTCATCTGACATACTTTGAGCATGTTGCTAGGGGAGACTTTTCCTTCGAGAGGGACGTCATGCTTGGACAGGTTGAGTGACGGTGAAGGAGAGGAGGATCTTCTACCTGGTGGATTAGCAGTGGTTGCAGCAGTGGCCTCAAGTATGTCAGAGATTGTGAGGATGGCAGCGGATCGGACAGGGTTCAGATCTTTTGTTCATAGGGTCACTGTGAGTCGTATTGGACTCACAGTGTGAAAACAACAAGCGATGCATAATACTTTGTTGAATGAGTGTACCATAGTTTATTTAACTGTTCGCTGATGACCACTTGATTGTTTCTTTGCTTTTTGCAAATAATGTTGGAATAACCTGGATGTGCATTTATCAGTTGTGTCACCGCTCTCATTTCTTTGGGGTGATTACTTAGTAGTGTGGGATTGCTAGGTCAAATAATATATGGAGGATGGAGGAAAACTCATTAATAAACCTGCATTATGGAGATGACATAACCTTTCTTCCTGAAATTGAGGAGGACTTGAGACACTTTCTGAAGAATATAAAAAAGAACAATGTTTAGTATAGATTACTTTTCAACATCAAGAAAGCAAAAATCCTCACCACTGGAAATACTATGGTAGGTGGAGAGAAGATTGAAACTGTCAGCAATTTCATCTTATTTGGATTCACAGTCAACACCCTTGAGAGTAGCAGTTAAGGGTTCGGGAGGTGTATTGCACTGGGAGAGTCTACTGTCCGAGACTTTTCCACATTACTGAGGAGCAGTGATGTCAGTTTGAGGACTAAAGTCTGATTCAGGCCATGGTAATTTCAGTTACTTGTTGTGCATCTGAAAGCTGTGCACTGAAAAAATGACAGAAGAATTGATGCCTTTGAGTTGCGGTGTTGGAGAAGAGAGTACTGAACATCCCATGGACTGCCAAAAGAACAAACACTGATGTCTTAGAGAAAGTGAAGCCAGAGTGCTCCTTGGAGGCAAAGATGATAAAGCTTCTTCTCACATACTTTGAGCATGTTGCTGGGAGACACTATTCCTTGGAAAGAAAAAGTGGAAGGTCGGTGAAAGAGGAAAAAACCCTCAATGAGATGGATTGACACAGTGACTGCAGTCTCAAGTATGCACAAGTGATGATGAGATTGGCACAAGATAGGACTGGGTTCAAATTTGTTACTCATGGGGTCATTATGAGTTTAACTTGATGACACCTAACAGTAACAACAACTCTGTCTCATGGGATCATTGTAAAATTGTTATAAATATTTTGAACAAAATTCTGTTAGAGCAGTTAAGATCTAACAGAAGCAAAAATAAGCAAAAGAAAATGTATTTAATTTTTATGCATTCATTGTCTAGTGTTCATCTTTCCCACATATGGATTGGAATTTTTCATCTACAGCATTTTATTTCTCTCTGAATTGCTTGCTATGATGGTGTGCTTCTTGTTTTTAAGAATTGCCAATTCATTAACAATTTAGCATTTTTTTCATATGGGCATTTTAGTAATAACATCTTGTACAACTATACCATAAAAGTTGCCAACATTTCCATTCTGTTAGTGTTGGATTTGGGGTTTTGTAAAGACACGTTTTTTATCCAGCATTCTTATTGGATTCTTTTTCACATTTTCTCTCTGTAACCATTACACATCTGTTCCTGCATGTTGAATACTTTCCATGTATTTAAGCCCCTATCATGTTGCTCATACTTGAATACCTGATCTGAATATTCTAAAACTGCTTTTTTATCTTGGGATGGTTTTGGTGATTGCTTTTTCTTTTCAAGCTATGTTTTTGTTTTCAGTGTGCCTTGTAGTTCTCTACTGAAAGATTTGTTTTATTCACTACTACTGTACAGGCATTCAAAGTACTAGTAACAGGTTCTGCTACTAAGACTGTGTTTAAGTCCAGTTTGTGTGTAGTTTGGAACCCTTAAGTATGACTTGTATCTTAGTCAACCAAATACTTGTCTTGGTATGCATAAAAAATTAAAGGAAAATTTCCAATTAGGCTGAATCATCTCCAACATCATAGTTGTTGCTGTGTGCTGTTGAGTCAGAACTGACTCATAGTTGACCCTCTAGTAGGTTTTCAGAGGGAAGTTTCCCACGGTAGGTTCAAGAAGGAGCTTTCAGTAGGTTTTCACATGAGAGGAGATTGCCCATTCTTCTCCTGCGGAGCAGCTGGTGGATTCAAACTGTGTGCCTTTAGGACTGCATTTCTATTTCTTAGCCTTAGGTCACCATTGCTCTCTTGGAGTCATTATGAGAAATAAATGAACAGATGAATTATTAGAGTTTTTAAAAATCTGTCCTGTGTTGCTCAATAAAGGGAACATTTTATTATTAATGCAGTTTAGTAGTGAATGTTAGGGGGTTATGATTTTTAAATGTGTAAAAAATTTAAATAATAATTAAACAGGTCTAAAGCAGCAAAAAAAAGTGTATGACTCAGGGTTTGCTTTTGATATTCCTTGTGCCACAGTCTCTTCTGAATCCAGTTTAAATTTCTTACAGTTCCCTATTGATGTATTGTTCCAGCCATTTTAATATTATCTTTGGCAAGGTTTTACTTGCATGTGCTATTAATGATTTTGTTCCATAATTTTCACATACTGTTGGATCACCGTTTTTGGGAATGGGAACGAACAGAGATCTTTTACCGTTGTTTGTCCAGGTAGCTGTCTTCCATATTTGTTGGCATATTTGGGATTGCACCCATCAATTCCTGGCACCTTAGTTTTTGGCCAATGCCTTTAGTGCAGCTAGGACTTTTTCAGTAATGTCAACCAATTCTTTTTGGTAGATTAACTCTGTGCATTTCTTCCATCTTCTTTTGATACTTTTTTCATCATTAAGATTTTGCCCTTAGAATTCTTCAGTATTGTGACTCAAAGCTTCAATTTGTCCTTTAGTTCTTTTAGCTTGAGATATACTGAGCATGTTTTTCAAAGTGTAGAAAGAAGTAATTTTGTGGAAGAATTGTTAAATCTGTGTCATAGGATGACATCATTCAGGTACTAAAGGTAGATAGTGATAGAATTAGGGAGGTGCCTAGACTCTTGAGTAGAATTTAGTTCAGCATAAAAGTTTGTATTGTTTGCCTATGAATTCTCTGTTGCCCAGAATCATCAGCCTCACCTGTCCTTCTGTAAAAAGTTAAGTTCGTGATGTCATGCTAAACTAAAATATATTTGGTGTTTTAGGACTCAGTGGTCGTTGAGGATGTCACTGTGGAGTTTACTCATGAAGAATGGGCTTTGCTGGATCTTGCCCAGAGGAAACTCTACGAAGATGTGATGATGGAAACGTTCAGAAACCTGGACTCAGTCGGTAAGTATGGTGTCATTTTAAAGTTTTTCTTTTTTTTTTTAGTGAACGTATATATCATACAAGTCAACTGTGCCCCAGTTTTCTGGCTGTAGAAGGAATATGCATTGGTAATCAAGCATGGTCATTTGGTCTATGGATTGTAAATATCCTGGCTCTCCCCTAAAAATAAAGCTCAGTTATTAAACTGACTTTTACATTTTTAATTTGTTCTAGTTAAAAGTTTTGAGATGTTTCATTATCTTCTCTCGTATTTCTTTCTCTATGAGTATGGTATCCGCTACACCTATTTGTTCTTCTAAAAAAGAGAGGGATTTGAGAGGAGTGGACATAGGACATCTAGAGCCACTATGTCTGAGAGTATCAGGAAGGCAAAAATCCTTTGACAGACCAGCCTTCCATGAGGGAAATGAAATTTTAATAAGTCAGTTAGAAATACTATCTTTTGGGTTGATGAGACTGCAGCTCATAGACCTGAGTCCTCTGATAATCTGTCTGTGGAGATTGGTCTTATCCTTTTCTATTTACATGTACATTGAGCGTATATACAATACTTTTGCAATGTATCCGTTATCTTTGTTTATTCTTCTTCTCATTATGGCCTATTAATATTACCTTCACTTTCAATGGATGCATTTTCTAGAGAAGTTCTTTTTGGACCATTCCTAAAATCTCGAATACGTTCTGGTGGGAGAAAGATGGGCATTCTCCTCCCTGCCTCTGAAAACTCACTGGAGGGCCAGCTGTTGAGGGTCGGTTCTGACTCGACAGCACACAAGAACAAACCCCAAACAGCCCAATGTGTCATTCCTTCTTTGTTCACAGCTGCCTCTTTTCCTCCTAATAATCCCTTTACTTTTTGTTTCATATTTGAAATCTCAATTTCAATCATTGGTTCAGCTTCTCAAAACCTTGATAATGGGAAAAAGTTATCCAGTGAACACCTCGAAGTGAATGTTAAGAATAATAACACCCAGTCCTCCACGTTGGGAGATAGCTGTGAATTGCCTGGCATAGAAGATCAGAATGAAAATCTGGAGAGAGAGATGGGGTGAGTTTCATTCACAAAGAAGAAAGCAGTACTTTCATGATAAAATCTTGTCATATTAAAAATTATTTCTAAAACTAGGTTTAAAGTTGTATGATTACAGATTTTTTACAGCTTAATATTGTCATATATGTGATGTAGATATTGAACATTTGAAATATATTTCACTTTGTACACAGTTATCTGAAAGTATTATCTATTTGGAGCATTGTGATGAAAATGGTAGCTGATTGAACCTGGGTAATATAAGACATCCTCGGGCAGAATAAACACTGTATTTGGTAATGGTGAAATGGAAACAAATTTTATGCTAACAGCATGTTGCCTGTTTTTCACAGAAGGCTTATGGTAAAGAACCACTCTGAAAGTAATGAGGAAAATCCATTGGGAAAAGCATTCAGCTGGAGTCCAGATCCTCCTGTGTCCAAAAGAAGTTCTACTGTTACAGATTCTTCAGATTGTGGGAAATCTGACTTCAGTCACACATCACTTAATCATCATATCGGATCTCACTTTGATTTCAGTACTTGTCAGGGCAAGCAATGTCAAGATGCCTGCAGTGGCCCTTCTGACCTGAGCACTCCTGTAAGAACTCTTAATGAAGAGAAGCCCTGTACATTTCAGGGAACAGCACTTACCGAAAAGAAACTCCATCATTGTATCAAATGTGGGGAAGATTTTCATGTTTTCTCAAGCTTTCAGACACATGTGAGCAGTTGTAAGCAGGAAAGTAAGGAACTTTTGGAAGACTATTCATCATACTCATTACTTAAAAAACTTCAAAGTGGAATTAAGCCTTATGAATGTAAAGAATGTGGGAAGGGTTTCCGTCATTCCTCATCCCTGACTGTACATATAAGAACTCACAATGGAGAGAGGCATTATGAATGTAACGTATGTGGACAGACCTTCCGTCATTCCTCCTCCTTAGCCACACACAGAAGAGTTCACACAGGAGAAAAGCCTTACAAATGTAAGCTGTGTGGGAAGGCCTTTAGACAGTCCTCAGCTCTCACCTCACATAAAAGAGTTCACACCGGAGAGAAGCCTTTTGTATGTAAGGGATGTGGAAAAGCCTTTAGTCACTCTTCAGCCCTCACTGAACATATGAGAACTCATAGTGGAGAGAGGCCTTATGAATGTAAAGAATGTGGGAAAGCCTTTAGTCAGTCCTCAAACCTCACTAGACATATAAGAACTCATAGTGGAGAGAAGCCTTATCAGTGTAAAGACTGTGGAAAAGCTTTTAGCGATTATTCATCCCTAACTCAGCATATAAGAAATCACAGTGGAGAGAGGCCCTTTGAATGCAAGCTGTGTGGGAAAACCTTTTATCAGTCCTCTCACCTCACTAGTCACCTAAGAATTCACAATGGAGAGCGGCCTTACCAATGTAAAGAATGTCGGAAAGCCTTTAGTGATTGCTCATCCCTCACTAGACATAAGAAAGTTCACATTGGAGATAGGCTTTTTATATGTGAAGAGTGTGGGGTAACTTTCAGCTGCTCCTCATCCCTCACCAACCACAGAAAAACTCACTTTGGAGATAGGCCTTATGACTGTAGGCAATGTGGGAAATCCTTCAGCTGTTCCTCATCCCTCAATAGACATAAAAGGTCTCACAGTAGAGAGAGGCCTTTTGAGTTCAAGGACTGTGTGCAAGACATAAGTCAGCCTTCAGCCCTCACTCCATATTTGATAGTTCACACTTGAGAGAAGCCTTATGAATGGAAGGTAAATGAGAAAGTGTAATCATTCCTCATCCCTCACCATTTATTTAAAGACTCAGAAGATAGTCTCATGAATTTAAGAAATAGAGCAAGATCTCTAGTGATCCCCAAGACTTCACTAGCCATATAAGAACAGACAGAAGAGAGAGTCCTTTGGAGTGTCTAGAAAGTATGAAAGCCTTGAATCCTCATCACATACTAGACACATGAGAAAGAACTCCTATTTAAGAGAGGGCTGAAGAGTAGATGAAAGCTTTTATTCACTTCTCTGTCCTGACTGAACCCCATTAAATTCACAGTGTGGAGAGGGATGAATGAAGTACTATGGGAAAGCTGTTACTGTTTCCTGTTGTTTACTAACCGAACACAAAAGGAGATGTAGTGAAGAGAAATGTTATAGACCTAAGGAATGTGGGAGTCTTTAGTTACGCCTTCTCTCCAGGAATATTGTGTTAAATCATAGAGGAGTGAGTCCTTATGCATGTTAAGAATATGACAAAACTCTTCAGATGGCCTACACAACTTGAAATATATCTGATTAGGTATGCTGGAGAAAAACAATAGATGTCTAAGTTCTTGAATAGCTTTCATTCTCTTTTTCTCAAACATACAATGCTATATACATTAGAGGAAAATAATATGAGAAATGTGGGACAATTTCTGTTTTTCTCCCCATATGTTCAAATACTTTGGAAATCACGCATATGGAAAAGCCTTCCCTAATTAAGTCCATTGAGCATAGTAGAAGTCACTTTGGAGAGATACCATGTAAGTTACGCTGGAGCAGGTAGAGAGCTGTTTTCCATTCTTACTGAAAGTATGACATGGTACACTGGACTCATCCCATCAGTAAAAGCTGATAGCAGACCTGTGTGCTATTTAGGTTGTCGAGGACCCCCCCAACACATTGAAGAGATCCTATGACTCACCTTTATAATGAAGGCTTCACGTAATTTCTTCTGATGCACAATGAAATTTATATTAGGGGGGAAAAAATCAAAGTTGCAAACCTGGAATTTATCACTCCGTTAGTCCCATATGCCATTAATTTCTACTTTTTCTGATGTAAACATTAAGATGAAAAGTATTACTCTACTCTTCCCTCTAATATAGTCCATTTTCAATTCTGTAGTATGAATTTGATAAATATTTATGTTTTTGATAGAATCACACAGTAGTACTTATTCCTATTTTTTTTGTGTGTTTCTTTTCAGCCTTACATACACGGAAATTTTTAACAAAAATTATGCACAATTTTTAACAGAATTGTAATTGCTCTGTTTGTTATAATCGAAATCTTCCTGTAGAAAAAAATGAATTGGAGAGTGCTTCCTCTCAAACAGTGCTTTAAGTAGCAGGGTTTGCTTGGAAGGACATCTCATTCTGTGGTAAGTGGCACTAATGATCCCACACAGAGCCCCCATCTGGCCTAGCTATAGTGAAACTTCCGACACACCCAGGCACAGAGGTTGTGCTTATTGAGAACCCTGATTTTGGTAATTATGACTGTTCAAGAGTATGCACCAAGCCAAAAACTATTCAGCTATTCAAAATAGTTGACGCTGACCTACCTGGCTTGAGCTCCCTGTACAGAGTTGGAGACCGTAAGAGTACACCTAGGATTTCTGCATTCAATGAGGAAAAGAAAAATGGCTGTTATGTCCAGAAGCTTCTCCTCCTCAACTCTACTTCACGCTGAGCTGATACCTGGATCACTTACTCCTCTCGTAAGAGCCTGAGAAATGATGGGCTAAGGTAACAGAAGCCATCACGTTATATTCTCTCTTGATCCGCCAATTCCCCTTGGTCTGTCTTCCCATAGAAATCCATGGGCACCAAGAGCTTTTGATTGATGTCTTATTTTGCTTCTCCTTGGGTTTATACTTTTTTTTGTATTGATTACCATTTTTAAGGGGGCTCTGGGGGCTTCTTGTTGCCATCAAGTCAGAGCTGACTCATAGCAGACCACCCCCCCACCCCCCCAGTGGTTTTTCAGAGGCAGTTAGTCGCACTTGAGAAGATTGTCCATCCTTTTGTGGTGCAGTTAGTGGATTTGAACCATATGCCTTTGAAATTGCAGTGCAGCATCTTACCACCAGGCCACCGGAGAGCTCCTCACGGCTTAGTGGTAAGGAAATGAGCTGCCATGCAAAGGTATGTGGTTCAAATCAAAGGTATGTGCTCTGTAGGAGAAAGGTGAGCAGTCTCCTTCCTTGAGATTTACTGCCTCTGAAGATCCATGGAGGAGTCAGCTATGGATTGGTCCTGACTTGATGGTACTCCACCACCACAACTATTTTTTCCGCTTTAAGTTTAAAAATTGTAATTAACTTTTAGAGTCTGATTTGATAAATGCATGACATGTCACAGTCAGTTGCAAGATGTCAGTGCAACACTACTCTTCCCTCAGATTCATTCTGGTGCTGCTCTTTTTTAATCAGACTTCACCCCTGAGTATGAATTTCTTCTGTCTCTGTACATATATTCTCTCTGTGTGTAACAGTTTATTGCATAATATATTTGACAATTGCCATGTTTATCAATGTATTGATGCCCTGTCCTTTTACTTGCTATGTAGTATTCAGTTTTATAGCCATACGATAGTTTGTGCATTTGCAAATTGAAGGACATTTGTGTTTACGGTTATGAATAAAACTGATGCAAACATTCTGTAACATGTTTTATGTGAACTTCATTTCCCCCGCATCTTTACACCCCTGGTATTAGGTTTTCTATCTTGTGGTAGCTGTTTTAAAGAAGCTTTGCCACTTGGCATAAAGTGCCATTGCACTTTTCCCACTAGGAAGTGACTTTTGTTTCTTATCAACTTAGAGACCTTCGTAAACACCCTTTCTGACATAGAAGCCAGAGTGGATATGGACATCTGAGTTAGCAGGTCTCCTGCACTGTTGTTGTTGTTGTAATATGCCATTGAGTCTCTTGGGATTCATACCTACCTTATATACAATAGCCCTGAAACCTGCTCTATCCTGTGCCATCTTTATGTTTTCTGGCACATCTACTCCCCCTTACCCTAATCACTGAATCAGTCCATCTCATCAGTGGTCTTCCTCTCTTTCTCTGTCCCTCCACACTCCAAGCATGGTGTGCCTCTCCAAGAACTGGTGCCTCCTTGCCATGTGCCCAGAGTATGTCAGACAGAGCTTCAGAATCTTTGCCTTCTTATATATTAGTGTCTTTTAATATCTAGAATGTATTTTCTCCTTAAAAATTCTTCTTTTTCGGTTTCATTTCTTAAGCTCAAGGAACTGAAGAGCAAATTCAAACCTCGAGTTGCTACAATCAAGGATGCTTTAGGCAGAACGTTAAATGATCCAGGAGGT